CAGGTCTCGAACCTGCGGGCTCAGGCAATCCACTCACCTCAGCCTCCCAAAGGCGCGGGATTACAGGCTGAGCCACCGAGCCAGGCTCAGGGAGGGTTTGATAAGTCTGTGTGAGAGAACAAAACTGGACAGTATATAAGGGTCTGTAGAGGTAAATTCCAATTTTATGGGGAGCCCTAGTTAAGATAAAGAACACAAAATTATGAACATAGAATTACTAGGGTCCATGCTGTCCAGGACTTTGGAAGAGGCCTGTGCAAATGAGGGGCCATGAAGCCTACACATCATTAGTGTCATGATAAATGTGCCTCTGAGGATCTATTTAACAGTGATTAAAAAAAAAAGGTTAGTAAAAATATTTTGTATGTTAAAAAAAATGAAAAGGCTGGGCATGGTGGCTCAGCCTGTAATCCCAGCACTTTGGGAGGCTAAAGCGAGAGGACTGCCTGAACCCAGGGGTTCAAGACCAGCCTGGGCAACCTCTTCTCCACAATAAATCACAAAAACTAGCCAAGCGTGGTGGCATACATCTGTAGTCCCAGTTACTTGAAAAGAAAGACTGTCTGAGCCCAGGAGGCCGAAGCTACAGTGGCTATGAGCATGCCACTGCATTCCAGCCTGGGAGACAAAGAGTAAGACTCCAACCCAAATACAACAACAAAAAAAGAGAAAGAAAGTAACATGTGGATACGGGGGCATATATTGGAAAGAACTATGGGTTGTGGAGTCAGCCAGATCTGCAATACAATGCTGTCACACAACAGCTCTGTGACCTGAAACAAGCTGCTTAGAGGCCATCTCCTTTACTGGGTTGTGAAAATTAAAGACAGTGGATGTAAAGAGCCTCAGAGATATTTATGTGCTTAATAAGCAGGGACTATTGACTTATTTTTTTTTTCTGATTTGGAGTCTCACTCTGTCGCCCAGGCTAGAGTGCAGTGGCACACTCACGGCCACTGTAGCCTCAACCTGCTGGGCTCAGGCAATCCTTTCGCCTCAACCTTCCAATTAGCTAGAACTACAGGCACACGCCACCATGCCTGGCTAATTTCTTTTAATTAATTAATTTATTTATTTGAGTTGGAGTCTCACTCTGTTGCCCAGACTGGAGTGCAGTGGCATGCTCCCGGCCACCGCAGCCTCAACTTGCGGGACTCAGGCGATCCTTCCGCCTCAGCCTTCCAAGCAGCCAGAACTACAGGTGAGCGCTACCACACCCTGCTAGTTTTTGATTTATTGTAGAGACGAGGTCTTGCTAAGTTGCCCAGGCGGGTCTCAAACCCATGGGTTCAGGCAATCCTTTCGCCTCAGCCTTCCAAAGTGCTGGGATTACAGGCTGAGCCACTGAGCCCAGCCTTCTTTTTACTTATTGTGGAAATGAGATCTCACCAAGTTGCCCAGGCCGGTCTTGAACCCCTGGACTCAGGCAATCCTCTTGTCTTGGCCTCCCAAAGTGCTGGGATTACAGGCTTGAGCCACGGTGCCTGGCTGGCTACTTTTTTTTTTTTTTTTTTGAGTTGGAATCTCACTCTGTCGCCCAGACTGGAGTGCAGTGGCCGCTCCCGGCCACCGCAGCCTTGACCTGCTGGGCTCTGGCGATCCTTCCACCTCAGCCTTCCGAGTAGCTGGAATTACAGGCGCGCGCTACCACACCCGGCTGATTTTTGATTTATTGTAGAGATGAGGTCTCACCAAGTTACCCAGGCAAGTCTCAAACCTGCGGGCTCAGGCAATCCACTCACCTCAGCCTCCCAAAGGCGCGGGATTACAGGCTGAGCCACCGAGCCCGGCCTGGCCGACTATTGATTAGAGATGCGTGCAGGCTCACAAGAGAATCAAAAGAGAGTGTACATGCAAATGAGGAGAGTGAGGGAAGAATGATCTACTAGACAAGATCAAAGGGTAACCAGGGCCAGGGAGCATGTGTATGTATGTGTGAAGTCCAGGAACCCTAGCCACACCAGTCTCCTCCTGGCTCCTCCTACCTCTCCACACCGCAGTACACACAGGAACCTCAATAGCAAAGGCTCAGGGGAAGAACTGGGGAGTGTGGCTTTTGGAGGACCCACCGCACCAAGCCTGCCTGGCCCACCTGACCCCGTGCTTACTGAATGAACTGCAGCCCCTTCTCGATATCCGCCTTCCGTTTCTGCCTCTCCATCAGTCTCTGGGGGAGAGAGTACAGTCCATCAGTAAGTCAGTAGAAGCTGAGTAGCCATCCATTCCCCTCATTTTGTGGGTCCCGTAAGTGGACGTTTTCTCACGTTCACCCTCATCCCATTTCCCAGGTGGGAAGCAGGGTCCTTGAGGGCAATGACCCATGTCAGGGCTCTGTCCTCCACACCCATGTCCCACTCCCAATGGAACTCTGAGTTTGTGTGGTGCCCTCAATGGGCAATGGGCTACATAAATGCCACTTGCCCCTTCCCATACACAACTTGGGCTACAATACTGCATGGAACACCCTCAAGTTCAAAGGAAAACTCTCATTTTATCATCACTCAGTAGTGTGTGCTGCTACCAGGAGAAGGCAACAGAAAATACAAAATGGTGGCCCATGATTACATATGACAGTGGAATACCAGGCATCCAACCATGCACGTCCTACAAGGGTTGTGTTGACTTTCAACAATGCTTTGAGGTAGATGTCATTCATCCTCATTTTACCAAGGAGGACCCTGAAGGTCAGGGAGCCGCAGTCATGAGTGGGCATGTAGCAGAGAAAGGATTTGAGCCCCAGAACATGCTTCCTTTTACATCCACTGGCAGCCCCTTCACGGCATGGCTGATAACCCCTGGCAATGGACGCCTGGGGAGGAAGGCCAGGTAGCAGATGGCCACAGTTAGCACATCTCACCTACACTTAGCCAGGATGTGAAGTCTGGCCCAAGGAAGGCCTCTGGACATGGAGGTCATCTCAGCTTCCTCCCTTCCTCCACACCCACCTGTTGACTGGCTAGTCCTTGCCTTTTCATTCCACAGGAGGTCAGTGCTGGGCAGATTTGGGTGACAAACAAAACCAGAAGTGATCCTTATACAGTTGCTGCCCTCATAATGCTTTCAGTCCAGTGAATAAACCAGGCTTGCATTTACGAGGCCCTGACACAAGCCCACTACATGTCTGCTTGCCCTCGAGGGGCCGTAGATCAGGGCTCTGAACTTAGACAGAACTGGGGTGAAGTTCAGCATTCACAATGACTATGTGGATTTGGGCCTCCATCTCCTGAGGGGGAAAGTGGGGTTAATAGCAGTTCCTGCCTCATTATCGGCTGTCATGAGGGTTCAGGAGATAGTGTGTGCAGAGCACTTGGCACAGATTGATAATCCAACAATCGTGGGAAAACATGTCACTCAACACTGCTCCTCCCGCTTGCAAAAAACTCTGCCAGTGTTCCTGGGATGGATGGGACTGCTATGACTCTGTCCTAATGCAGCAAGCTGGCAGCAATGGCCCTGGGCTGCCTACTCATGCCCAGTAGACCTCTCTGTTGGTCTCTCTGTCCTTAGCTCCCTTGTCTGTAAAACAAGCCCCTAATTTTCCTCATATCCCACTCCGGGACCCCAGCCCCAAAAGGCTGCTGGTGGCTTTCCTGCCTCCTGGCCTTTGCCCTAGCAGGTGCTTCCACCCTTGTAGCAGGCACCTCTCCATCCCGCTACTGAAATTCCAGCATCCTTCACTCCTCCACTCAGCCTCTCCTGATCCTGTCAACTGAACCCTTCGTACAGTCCCGCATCCAATGTTTGCTGGAAGTCAGGGAGCCATGGGTGGGTCAGACCCAATCCTTGCCCTGGAATAGTGTTAATTTTTTAGGGGAAGAAAAGGTACACCTGGTTACCATACAGTAAGGCCCAGCACTGACTGGGGAAACTGTGGAAAGGGAGAAGGCCTCCGCAGGCCTGACCACCAGCACCCAGGGCACGGCCATGGCCAGTGGCTGCCAGGCCCCGTCATTTTGACCTGGGTCACAATCCAGCCTTCACACCCCCCACCACCCGCCTGGTGATATTGCCCATCCCAAGGCAAATGGACCAGCCTCCTCACTGGCTTCCCCAGAGGTCTTTCAAACCTCTATCTTTGGCTGATCAAAATCTCCCCTTGCACCTACACTGGTTTATGTCATAGGGAGCAATGGCCCTGTTACCCTCTCAAGCCCCACTCAGCTCCTTGGTTCTCTCAGAAGTCCACAGTGGCAGAGATGAACACTTCTGCATCAGTCCTCCAGCCTTGGAGTCTAAGCCAACTTAATAATTACAAACACAGCCCTAACTACCTGAGCAGTGATTCCTATGAAGTCTGAATCCCCTGCCAAGGAATAAACGCCCTCTGCTCCATGCGGCATGAATGCTTCTCACACAGCCTGACCATTTATTCACCTCTCTGATGTCCTCCCTGAGCAGGTTACTTTGCCTCTCTGAGTTATAGCTTCCTGCTTTTTACAGAGAGGACCGACAGTGCCCACTGGCAGGATGAATATAACGCAGGCATTCGGTCAGGTGTGGCGGCTCATGCCTATATCCTAGCACTTTCGGGAAGCTGAGGTGAGAGGACTGCCTGAGCCCACGGGTTCGAGACCAGCCCGGGGAACTTGGTGAGACCTCATCTCTACAATAAATCAAAAAATTAACCAGGTGTGGTGGCGTGCACCTACAGTTCCAGCTACTGGGAAGGCTGAGGTGGAAGGATCACCTGAGCCCGGAAGGCTGAGGTTGCAGTGGTTGTGAGCGTGCCACTGCCCTCCAGCCTGGGTGACAGAGTGAAACTGACTCAAAAAAAAAAAAAGCAGGCATCCATTACAGGGCCTGGTACATAAGAGGCACTTAACAAAAAGTGGCTATTAATAGATCAGAATTCCTATGCTGGACATTCAGTTTGACATTTGCTATATGCTCACTGAACGTAGGTGAGAAAGCTGGGGTCCCCGCCTCCCAGCCATGCCTCACAACCAGGTCAGAGACATAGACGAATATTCCATCAGCTCCATCATAAAGCAGACTTCTGTAGTAAACATACACCAGGATGAGGCACAAAGAAACTGGAAGCTCCTCAAAGGAGACAGAACTTAAGTTGGAATTTGAAGGATGAGTAGGAGTTGGTTTCTTGGAATTTGAAGGATGAGTAGGAGTTGGTTTCAGGAGGGGGAGGCTGTCTTGCAGGCTACATGTGATGGTTTATAAAACACTGTCATCTCCCACATTCTACTCAATCCCAAATGATAACCCTGGGGGCTGGGCCATGATGGGACCTACATTAAGAGATAAGGGAAGTGAGGCTCAGACTGGACACAGGTCTGCAGCCAAGAAGTGGGGCCAAGCCTGGAACAAATGACTTCAGGTCAGGAAAGACTCTGGTGTTCTCCCTCCTCAAAGGTACAGTACAAGCAGATCCACTCGACAAATTTCCCTAGTGCCTGAGCCTGTGTTTCTCTGACTGCTCACCACCACCCCAGAGAAGGCAGATATCCCTGTGGTATGATTAAGAGAGAGGCTCCTGCTGGGCTCGGTGGCTCAGCCTGTAATCCCTCCCACACCTTGGGAGGCTGAGGTGAGTGAATGCCTGAGCCCGCAGGTTCGAGACCTGCCTGGGCAACTTGGCGAGACCTCATCTCTACAATAAATCAAAAAATTAGCCGGGTGTGGTAGCGTGCACCTGTAGTTCCAGCTACTTGGACGGCAGAGGTGGAAGGATCGCTGGAGCCCAGCAGGTGGATGCTGGGTTGGTCGTGAGCTTGCCACTGCACTCCACCCTGGGTGACAGAGTGAGACTTCAACTCAAAAAGAAAAAAAAAAGATCATTTGCTCTCAGCTAAAGAGGGAGGTAAGCAACTGCAAGGCAAGTGCCAGGCATGACTCAGAGTAGACACTTGGTGGAATAGCAAGAAGCATGTGAGCCAAACAAACTTTCAGGTTCACACTTTTGATAGGGTCTTGCTCTGTCACCTAGGATGGAGTGCAGTCGTATGATCACAGCTCACCACAGCCTTGACCTCCTGGGCTCAGGCAATCCTTCTGCCTTAGCCTCCCAACAGACTCGTTTTTTTTTGTTTTGAGTTGGAATCTCACTTGGTTGCTCAGACTGGAGTGCAGTGGCCGCTCCCGGCCACCGCAGCCTCGCCTGCTGGGCTCCGGCGATCGTTCTGCCTCAGCCTTCCGAGTAGCTGGAATTACAGGCATGCACCATACCTGGCTCATTTTTTGATTTATTGTAGAGATGAGGTCTTGCTGCCCAGGCGGGTCTCGAACCCGCGGGCTCAGGCAATCCACTCACCTCAGCCTCCCAACGGCACGGGATTACAGGCTGAGCCACCGAGCCCGGCTAGACTCGCATTTTTTAAAGCAAAAAGTTAGTTGGGTGCAGTGGCTCATGCCTGTAAAATCACAGCACTTTGGGAGGTGGAGGCAAGAGGATTGCCTAAGCCCATGGGTTCAAGACCAGCCTGGGCAACCTGGCGGGACCTCGTCTCTTCAATAAATAAAAAAATTAGCCAGGCATGGTTGTACATGCCTATGGTTCCAGCTACTTGGAAAGCTGAGGGGGAAGGATAGCCTGAATCCATCAGGTTGAGGCTGCAGTAGCTATGAGCACGCCACTGCACTCCAGCCTGGGCAACAGAGTGAGACTCCAACTCAAAAATAAAGAAAGGTTCGGGCTTTGTGGCTCAGCCTATAATCCTAGCACTTTGGGAGGACAAGGCAAATGGATTGTCTGAGCCCATGGGTTCGAGACCACCCGGGCAACTTGGTAAGACTTCATCTCTACAATAAATCAAAAATTAGCCAGTCATGGTAGCACACACCTATAGTTCTGGCTACTTGGGAAGACTGAGACAGAAGGATCGCTGGAGCCCAGTAGGTTGAGGCTGCAGTGGCCAGGAGTCTGCCATTACACTCCAGTATGGGCAACAGAGTGAGACTCCAACTCAAAAGAAAGAAAGAAAGAAAAAAGTCCAAAGAAGAAACAGAGGCTCAAATATGCCCAGAATTCTGCTACCAGGCCAAGAAATCCCCTCAACTCCAAGTTCTTATAATTTTAGGTTCTTAGGAATTTCATACTGGACCTGCCTCAAATGGACTCTTCCCAGAAATATAGCAGTGAATTTAGGAACCAACAAGAAAGAATTCCCTCAACATGTCAGCACAATATGTGTCTCTATACCCAAGTGTATATCTGGGTTCAAACCC